TCAACAAAAGGCTTTATCAGAGTCAAGCATCAATATACAAATCAATTTTAATTTCTATACACTAGAGATGACATATCTGAGACAGAATTCAGAAAAACAATTCATTTAAAATATTTCAAGAAACGATAAAAATACTAGAGTATAAATTTAACGGAAAGCGTGGACATGCACTGAAGAATAAGCAACCGCGCACTGGCAAAAAAAATGAAAAAGATTGTAAATAAGAAAAATTTCATGTTCATAGATTCAAAAGATTTAAATGTTAAATGGGCAATACATCTACTAAGTTGACTAAGGAGTTCAAGTCAACCCTATCAAAATCCCAGATCTATTGTGCCACAAACTAACAGCTGGTCCTAAATTTATATAAAATAAAGAAACGCTGGCCCCGGCGCGGCTGCTCAACATCTGTAATTCCCAGCACTTTGGGAGCAGACAGGCGATCACGAGGTCAAGGATAGATCGAGACTCCTGGACTAAACACGGAACCCCGTCTCTACAAAAGAAACTACAAAAAACCAAGGCCCGGCGAGGTGGCAGGCACCTGGTAGTCCAGCTCACATGCGGAGGGCTGAGGCAGGAGAATGGCGTAAACCCGGAGGGAGGCGGAGCTTGCAGTGAGCTGAGATCCGGCCACTGCACTCCAGCCTGGGCGACAGAGCAAGACTCCATCTCAAAAATAAAATAAAATAAAAGAAACCCAAAATTTTCAAAACAAATCTTGAAACAGGATAAAAGTTGGAAGACCCACTCTTCCCAATTTCAACACTTACTTCAAAGGTAAAGTAATTCGGTATAGCAGCAGTCCCCAACCTTTCTGGCACCAAAGACTGGTTTCACGGAAGAAAATTTTTCCACACATGGGGGTAGGGGGATCATTTCAGGATGATTCAAGCACATTACATTTATCATTAGAGTCCCATAAGGTGCACGTAACCTAGATCCCTTGCATGTACAGTTCACAATAGGGTTCACATTCCTAACAGAATCTAATGCCACTGCTGATCTGAGAGGAGGCAGAGCTCAGGCGATAATGCTCGCTCAGTCGCTGCTCACCTATTGCTCTATGGCCCGGATCCTAAGAAGCCACACACAGGTACCTGTCTGCCACCTGGGGGTTAGGAACCCCTGTGGTACAGCATTGGCAAATATATCAATGGAATGGAATTGAGAGTCCAGAAATAAACCCCACATGAATGGTCAATTGACTTTCAATAAGGGATCTAAGACAATTCAACGGGGAAAGAATAGCCTTTTTAATAAATGGTGCTGAAACAACTGGATATCCACATAAAAAAATGAAACTGGACACTTACCTCACAATATACAAATATTAACTCAAAATGGATTATTAGAAACCTAAATGTAACAGCTTAAACTATAAAACTCTTACAAGAATACATACAAGTAAATTTTGATTCGTATTTCATAATGGTTTCTTAGATAAAACACCAAAAGCACAGTGACAAAAGAAAAAAATAGAAAAATGTAACTTCATCAAAATTTAAAACTTCTGTGCTACAAACAATACCATCAAGAAAAGTGAATTCACAGACTAGGAGAAAATATTTGCTATCATGTATTAGGTAAGGAATTTGCATCCTGAACATATAAAGAACTCCTACAACTCAATGCCAAGAAGGTTAAAACCCCATTTAAAAAATAGGCATTAACTATTCATAAATAATAAAAAGACCAAAAGCCATTAAAAACAGAGCAAAGGTTAAAAATAACTATTTTTCCAAGAAAGATACACAAATAGCCAATACACACAAACGATGCTTAATATAGCTAGTGATGAAGAAAAGGTAAATCCAAACTACAATGAGTACCACTTCACTTGCACTAGAATGACGATAATCAAAGAGCAGATAATATGTTATATTGGTAAAGATATGGCAAAACTGGAACCTTCATACATTAGTGGAATGCTAGTGGAATTTTTGAAGGTGCAGCCAAATTGGAAAACAGTGTGGCAGTCCTTCAAAAGATTAAGCACAGAATTATCATATGACCCAGAAATTTCACTCGTAGCTATATGTCTACATACCTAAGAAAAAAACAATGTCCACACAAAAGCTTGTACATGATGTTTCAACACTATGAAACATTATTCATAATAAACTAAAAGTAGAAAACAACCCAAATCAACTGATAAATAAATACAGCATATCAATACAACCGACTATCATTTGGCAATGAAAAGAAATAATACCAATACATGGTATGACAAGGATGAACCTTAAAAACATTATGATAAGTGGAAGAAGCTAGCCACAAAAGACTACATATTATACAACTCAATTTGTATGAAATGTCTGGCATAGACAAATCTATAGAGACAGACTATATATTAAACGTTGTTTAGGGACAGGTTGGAAGACTGGGGGAATGAGGAGTGACTATTGCTAATGGGTACAAAAGTGTTCCAAGATGGGTACAGAAGTATTCTGTAGTAGTGGTTGCAGAACCCTATGAATATACCAAGAAAACACCGTACAGTAAGTCCTCATTTAACATCACGGATCAGTTCTTCGAAACTGTGACTTTAAGCAATACGTTGTATAACAAATCAATTTTACCATATGTTAATTGATATAAGCAAGAGTTAAGTCCCTACAGCATATTTCTGGTCACAAAAACTTCATCAAACTTCTAAATAAATACTCAAAACACTTCTAATATTAAACATTCAAATACATGTGCACTATATATATATTTAAGAAAGATTAATTAAAAATAAGTAGGATAATTATTTACCCAGTTATCCCAGTTCAGGGTCACAAGTGGCCAAAGCCTGTTCCAGCAGCTCAGGAAAGAAGGCAGTGTATGGCAAATGCACCTGACAGCGGTAACTTAAGCAAACCCTGAGAATGACTCTATGGTCTAAAAAGAACGTGTATTCGGAGTTCCGAGCTAAGGAACCTGGGAGTGGCCAGACTTGACGATTCATTCCTTATCTATGAGGATAAAGACATCTGAACCTCTAGCCCATCCAGTGAAATCTAGGCCATACACAGAACCAAGGTCCTTTGTTTTGAGTTAAATGAGGGTTTTCAGGTGGAAGTTACTAGGGGGAGGATGCTAAGGGAAAATGCTACATAAATTGCATGCTTTTTCAAGTGGCTGTGGTTTTCTGTCCAGCTCGCAACTCTGTATGTAAGTTCCCTCAGTAAACCCTAGGTCTCATTCTCTGGCTCCCCATCTCTTCTTCAGCCTCTCTGATACGATGCAATACATACCGAAGTCAATAGGGGTCCAGCATGACAGGCAGGAACCTGTCCTGGACAGGATGCTATTCCCTCACAGGTGTACTCACACACACACACCCACATTACCTTATGCTGCTACCACTTAGACATGCCAGTTCACCTCATGCGCACAGCTTTGGGATGTGGGAGGAAATGAGTACCCAAAAATCCACACACACACGGGGAGAACATGCAAACTCTACACAGACAGTAGCCCCAGACAGGAATCAATTCTTTTCCTTATCAACATCATAAAAAAATCAAAAACAAAATGAGATATTTGAAGAACTGCTGTATTGTACAATTTAAATTGGTGACTTATACGGTATGTGAATTCTATCTTAATAATGGTGTTAAATGAGAAAAAGGCAAAAAGGCAAAAAAAGAAAATTCTTTTTATGCAATATTACATTGCAGAGTCTACAAATGAAACAAGCTTATATAAGAAAAAAGAGGCCAGGCGTCGTGGCTCATGTCTATAATCCCAGCACTTTGGGAGGCCAAGGCAGGCGGATTATTTGAGGTCAGGAGTTCAAGACCAGTCTGGCCAACATGGTGAAACCCCATCTCTACTAAAAATACAAAAATTAGCCAGGCGTGGTAGCGCACATCTGTAATCCCAGCTACTTGGGAGGCTGAGGCAGGAGAATTGCTTGAACCCAGGTGGCAAAGGTTGCAGTGAGCTGAGATCGTGCCACTGCACTCCAGTCTAGGCCATAGAGCAAGACTCCATCTCAAAAAAAAATAAAAAAGTAAACATTTAGAAATGTTTTGTATAAAACACTCTTACCTCCAGTACTGATTTCTACTTCTGTAGAATCTCTTTCCAAACTCCCAGCACTGCTAACAATATTCATTAAATGAATTGCAGTCCAAGCAAAAGGCATGCGATATTTCCCAAGTCTTTGGCAAAACTGATCTGCTTGACTCTTCAGTTTCTCCAGTTTTTCTTTATTCTGCAAAACAGAACTTTATATATTATATGATTATTCTTGAAAGATACCCATTAAAGGCTATTTCATACTACATAAAGGAAAAGGATGAGAAGTCTCAATTCCCAGCAGAGATGAAAAAAAAATCTGTACCTTACAGAGATCAAGTATTAGTGTAATATCTTAAGCAGTGAACAAACTCAACGTATTCTACAAATGTACGTGCAGAGCAGGTCTTGAAATTTCTGTTTGTGATTATGTTATTCTGGGGAGAAGACAGCAAGTACCAAACAGGTATTATGTATTGCAAGTATTTGTTTTAGGAAGGAAGCATAACCATGGTCTAGTCAGCAACTGGGAACTACAAAATATTCTAGGTTACAATTTGTTAAATTTTGTTACTCTATAAAAGATAGAAGTAGCTGAGCAAATTTGAAATAGTCCCTAACTTATAACAACCATGAGTTAAGAGTGGGGAAGCACGAATAGGCCAATGATAAACAAGCTCAGAGTTGTAACAAAAGAAGGAAAGTAAAAAGTATTAGAAGAAGACTAAACACTGGAAAAAGACTAATGGTCCAAATATTTAATAGTTCAAGCATATCTGGAAGACATCTTGAGGCTAGCTCAACTTTTAGGCTACTCCTGAAACAAATATAAAGGTGGCCTGGAAAAGCCACTCAACACTCTTAAGACTGAAAACCTATACTACCTCTCTCATATACTCTTTGCAGATGGGATGTTGAACTATACACTAATGACAGTGTCCTACCTTGGGACTAAGGGCTAGAAAAAGATGAACCAATAACTAAATGATAGCACTATTTATTACTATCTATATTATACTTCTAAAACAGTTCTTGTTTTAAGTATACTTCAAGTATATTTAATTCTATCAGTGTATGTAAATATAAGCAAAGAGTGGAATAAGCTGCTAGTATATTTAAGAGCACTATGTAACAGAGCAAATTTAATGTGTAAAATGACAACCTGGGGACAGCCAGAATACTATACTTTAACCATGAGTTCAGCCAGGTAATCAAGGATCAAGAAAAAAATATCATGTGCTCAGATCTACAGAAAAAGCTCAGTTCTTGTTCTGAATCTTGGGAAAACAGCAAAACATTTTCTGGGTTTGGGTTGCTTACCTAGTATTCCTCAAGCATACTTCTCCAGGAAGTTCCAGTATTAAATCTTGTGTTCAAAGATCCAAAGATCGCTTGTATTCTTGTAACTAACACATAGTATCTGAAATTTGTTATCAATTATCCAACCTTTTTTTTGCTTTTATAAGTTTATACATATTCTAGAACTTAAGCTGGGTGTGGTGGCTCACGCCTGTAATCCCAGCACTTTGGGAGGCTGAGGCAGGTGGATCACTTGAGTTCAGGAGTTCAAGACCAGCTTGGCCAACATGGTAAAACCCCGTCTCTACTAAAAATACAAAAATTAGCTGGGTGTGGTGGCACATGCCTATAATTCCAGCTACTCGGGAGGCTGAGGCAGGAGAATCGCTTGAACCTAGGAAGCAGAGGTTGCGGTGGGCCAAGATCGCGCCACCGGACTACAGCCTGGGTGACAGACCAAGACTCTGTCTCAAAAGAAAAAAAAATCTAGAAATTAACCATCTGATGGCAAAAAAAAAAAGCTGTATTTTCTTTTCTTTAAGACTATTATATTTTTACTATATTCCTTAATAATCTGCAGTCAGATGGAAGCCAAGAATATTTCTATTTTGCTAGGAAAATTTCTATCAATATCACTATTTTATAAATAAAGAAAACCTTTCATTATTTAGGAGTTAAACTGAATTAATTTAGTTCTCTCCATGAAGAAAAAAATTTAAAGAATCAGTTAGTTTTGAGATAGAAGAGATTTTTAAAGAATACCACAGCATATGACACAGGCTAGCTGACAAATGAAATAAAGAAGAAAGGAAGATAGGAAGCAGGCCAACAGAAAAAAATATAGTACTAGTAAAATTCTTTAATTTGCTTTGTATAGTATCCTCCCAAATTACAATAGTAATAATGTGGGGGAAATGAGAAGCATGACATTCTACCTTGGTGGCATCTGCTTCTTTGAAAATCATATATGGTTCTGCACACTCTCCAATGTCTCCTTGCTGTAGGACTTTTTCTAGCTGTCAAAGGCAAAAAAAAGTTAAGATTAAGCTTTTAAAAGCCAGAAATTCAAGGATGGTTCAATATATGAAAATCAATATAACACATTAACAGAATGACAGAAAAAAATATATGACATCTCAATTGCTGTAGAACAAACATTAGACAAAATTCAGTACCCTTTCATGGCAGAAACACTCAACAAACTAGTAATGCAAAGAAACTACCTCAACATAATAAAGGGCCATATATGAAAAGCCCACAGTTAACATCATACTCAACAGTTAAAGACTGAAAGCTTTACCTCTAACATCATGAATGAGACAAGAATGCCCACCTTAGCCTCACCTATTCAGCATAGTAATGGAAGCCCAAGCCTGAGAACTAAACAAGAAAAATACGTAAAGCATCTGAATTGGAAAGGAAGAAGTAAAATTATCTCTGCAAATGCTATGATCTTTTAAGTAGAAAACTTTAAAGATGCCACAAAAAAAAAAACTGTTAGAACTAATAAATGAATTCAACAAAGTTACAGCATACAAAATCTACATACTAGCAATGAGGAATTGAAAAAGGAAATTAAAAAAAATATATCACTTATAATACCATCAAAAAGAGTAAGATACTTACAAATAAACTTAACCAAGGAAGTAAAAGATCTATATACACTGAAGACTATAAAACATTGCTGAGACAAATTAAACTAGACACAAATAAATGAAAAGAAATTCTGTGTTCATGGATTGAAAAGATTTGATATCATTAAGATGTGAATACTACCCAAAGCAATCTATAAATTTAATGCAATCCCTATCAAAATCTCAATATTTTTTTTTTTGCAGAAATAGAAAAACCTATCCTAGAATTCACAGGGAATCTCAAGAGACCCTGAATAATCAAAACAAATTTAGGTAAAAAGAAGAAAGTTGAAAGTCTCATACTTCTTGATATGAAAATTTATTTAAAAACTACAATAATCAAAACAGATACGAGATACACACACACACACACACACACACACACATTCCTATTAGTTCAGTTTCACTGGAGAAGTCTAATAAAGAGTTCAAGAAAAATTAGGTAGCACCTACAGTGTATGTCCAATATTGTGTTACAGAATATCAAGATGAAAAAAAAAAAAGTAAAGGCTAAATCTTTGCCGTTGAAAAGTTTATAATACTGACAGACAAGTATACAGACACTACAAAATAAACAAATATATTTAACATTATTCTCACCTTTATTACAAGAAAAACATCTTGGGAAGGATAAGTGATAGAAAAAATTGCTGATCTTGCCAGGGTGGTAATGGCAGCAGGTGGTACATGTGGACGTAACAACCCTTTCATCTGCTCAGAATTAAGGTCAAAATAAAAGTTTTCTGAAATCTAAAAAATATCAATATGTTAAACTTCAAAATCTGTACATTTTACAGTGTCTATTTCTTAAATTAAAAGAAAGTTGCTTCTGCTACTTGCTTTTAGAACTCGTTCAATGAAACAATAACCTGTTTTCAATTACAGTAATTATAATAAGAAAACATTTAATCTTAATAAATTAAATTTCTATTTTCTTTTTAAAAACATTCATGTTAAATAATTCTCAAAAAAATCATTACTTATTTATCTACAGATAGTAGGATATTATACTCTAATATCAAGCTTATATTTCACTGAGACCAATCTTTACATACCTAAATCAAAGTAAAAGAAGTCTAAAAGCTATTTGGAAAATACAATAAGCATATTCTAAACAACCATATTCCAAATTCTTTTAATTAGAGGAAGGGGATCAAGGTCAGGAGATTGAGACCATCTTGGCCAAAATGGGGAAACCCCGTCTCTATTAAAATACAAAAAATTAGTCAGGCATGGTGGCAAAACCTGTAGTCCCAGCTACTCAGGAGGCTGAGCCAGGGGAATCACTTGAATCTGGGAGGTAGACGTTGCGGTGAGTTGAGACCACGCCACTACACTCCAGCCTGGTGACAGAGCAAGACTTCATCTCAGAAAAAAAAGTAACCTCTAATAAAGTACACAAAGATATTATCATTGAGATGATGGATTCCAAATTGAGTTTTTAAAAAATTTATGAATAATATCTCAGCAGTTTCGAGTTAGCAAATAAAAGTTGCTAGAGAAGAATTCCATTAAAGAAATCCATAATATGTCTTGTGTTGGCAGCAGAAGTCACTGAGGGCACTTCAAGTTTCCTTTTTTCTTTTTGTAATTTTAAATTGTTTTTAGTAGCAATGCGGGGGGTCTCACTACGTTGCCCAGGCCGGTCTTGAACTCCTGGCCTCAACCAGTCCTCCTACTTTGGCCTTCCAAAGTGCTGCAATTACAGATGTGAGCCACAAGCACCCAGTCAGCACTTCAAGTTTCTACTACATATTAGTCTTAGAATATTAAATTAAGAAATGTTGTAAAATAACCTTCCAAAAAGTTAAATTTAATGATTATATGATGGTAAAACTAAGAGCATTAAAACAGAATATGTAAAACACACAAAAATGGTCTTTTAGTTGGTGAGAAATTGAAAATCATGTCAATAAAAATTCACAGTCATTGTCATTCCTATCGTTAGGTACTGCTTGCCAAAAGTGCTTTTCTTGTATTGTCTTTTCTATTTCTTAAAGTTGCTTCTGCTATTTACTTTTAGAATTCTTTCAGTGAAACAATAACCTGTTTTCAATTACAGTAATTTATAATAAAAAAATATTTAACTAGTCCTAATAAATTAAATTTCTATTTCCTTTTTAAAAAGATCTACGTTTAACAATTCTCAAAAAAACCAATCTTACAAAACAAAACAGGTTTCCAAAACCAATGATTATGACAAATGACTATGGTCAAATTATATAATTTTACCTTTTTCTTTTCCTTGACATCATATAAAGCCAAACTTGCAAAAATGGGTTCAATTTCAATTTCAAACCTTTATGAAGAAAAAGGATAAAATAATTTAAAAATAAATACAAAAACACAGTTGGAGAGAAATTGATTCCAAAACTACATTACCACAATACCTGGCACTTTTCCACACCTGTGCCTTTGCCTATATTAAAACTTCTTCCTGAAATACACTCTTCTATGCATATCGTTGAGTCTAAATCAACCTTATCTTCTCTAGTTAATCCTAATTAATTTATCCAGCTACAAATAAACTCAAACTGCCTAAAAGCCTAATGACATATTATGTCTATTCTGAGTCACTAATCACTTTCTAACACGGTCATTTATATATGTATATATGTTCATTTTTAAATACGTTTTAAAAATAAAAGCCTAATGTTTTCTTTTTCAGATTATAAATAACATATTCAAGGCAAAAATCTTAGAAAACACATCAGAATATTCAGAGGAAAACAGGAGCATCCAAAGAATCATAATTAACAGTTTAATGCCCAATCCATCTAGACTTTATGCACAAATGCACTTGTCAAACAAATTTTTTTAAACAAAGAGTGTCACAGTATACATAACACTTTGTAGTCTGCTTTTTTAACTTAACATTTTATGGACAAATTTTCACATTACATATATCATTCTTACCATCATTTTTAATGCTTGCATAGTAATTCCCATTGTATGAATATGGCAAAATTGTATACTTAATTGAGATGTCTAATTCATTTCTAAGAACAATGACTTACATACAGTAAACATCTAGTAAATATTTGTTAAATGAAATAATATATAACATGAGGTTAACTAAAACTCTAGAGTAGAGGTTCTCAACGAAGGACACTTTTGCCCCTAAGGGAACATTTGGCAATACCTACGTACATTTTTGGTTATTGAAACTACAGGAGTATTACTGTCACTTAGCAGTTAGAAGTTGGAGATGGAACTGAACATCCTACACTGTACAGGAAAGTCCCTGACAACAAACAACCATCTAGACAAAAATGTCAATAGTGCTGACATTGTAATAACCCTGCTCCACGTTGCATATTTTTGTATTAAAAGAGAATTGAGGACCTTGTAGAAAATACACAACATATTTACATTAGGGTGAGAGTTTAATAAAGGGCCATTTACAAAGATTTGGACAGGATCTTGAGAAAACAACTACAGAGAGTGCCATTCCCTGGGGCTATCAAAAGCAAGAGTCATTACCAACCACAGACCTAAAAGAGAACATGGAAGTAATAACCAAAAATTAGAAAGGATAACTATACCAAAGATCCATCACAGAAACTGGCCTTGGAAAGAAAGAGGCAACAGATCTAAGTGACTCAGCAGGGAAGGAGACCTCACTCTCTTCTGCCCTCTAACTTCCTGCTGATACATCCCTTAGTAAAACCCAAATACAAGTCAAATGAAAAGAGATCTCGGTGATCCTGTCCACATGTGTCAACCTCTACAAAACCTACTCTGCATCCTTTTGACACTGTCAGTCCATTTATTTTGGCCAATCCAGTAAATAAGTGGTATCCCACTGGATTTTTCATGGGAATCTTTTCGTCCAGTAAATAAGTGGTGTCCCACTGGATTTTTCATGGGAATCTTTTCATCCAGTAAATAAGTGGTATCCCACTGGATTTTTCATGGGAATCTTTTCATATATTCACTGACCACTCGGATAGCTTCTTTTGGCCCATTTTTCTATTTATTGACTCTTTCCTCATCAATTTGTAATTCTTTATGCATTCTAGAAATGAGCACACTGCCAAGTATAGGTGTTGGAAATACCTTCTCCTTTTCTATGATTTATCTTCTCTTGCGTCTTTTGATGAAAAGTTGCCCATTTTAATGAAGTAAAATGTGTCAATGTTTTCTTCTAGGGGTAGTGCTTTCTGTGTCATGTCAAAGAAATCTTTTTCTTTCTATAAGATCATAAAGATATCCCTACATTATCTTCTAGAAACTTTACCATTTTGTCCTTCACATTTATATCTACTATCAATCTGTAAAAAAAATTTTGTGTATCATGTGAGGCAGTGGTCAAGTTTCCTATTTTCATATGTATGAGAAACACATATATAGAAAGACAAGACAGACAGACACAAAGAAAGGAAAGCAGCAGGGAGAAACATATATCCAACTCTCCTACCAATTTATTGAAAGGATTACCCTTTCCATACTATAAAAAATGTCCACTGTAACTACAAATCAAAAATGCATAAACATGTGGGTCTTTTTTTAAGCTCCTTATTTTTTTAGTTGAAGTAATAAATATTTAACGAAATAATTTTACATAATATTAACAGCATTCATTTGGCCAAACATTTACATGTTTGTAGAGTACTACTGTATATAAAGTGGGAATATATCAAGTACAGACTTTTCTAGCTCTTTTGTCTGTTCCAATGCTCTAGTTGTCTAATCATGTACCAATACTACACTGTCTTAATTACATAGTTTCATACTAGTCTTGACATCTGGTTGGGTTTTTTTTAATAAAGTTCTTCAAACTGTCCTGCCTCTTTTGGCCCTTTGTATTTTCATATAAATTGTAGATTCAGCTAAAAATAAACAAAAGCAGATCAAAGAGAAATGTTAATTTACTTATTCAGAAAATTAGAGGCCAAGGCAGGAGGATCGATTGAGGCCAGGAGTTCAAGACCAGCCTGGGAAACACAGCAAGATTCAATTTCTAATTCTTTAAAAAATTTTTTAAAAGAAAGAAAATTAGTACCCCAATGTGTAATTTAGTGCCATAAAATTACTGTGTAATAATTTTATAATTTTTTTTTTCTTTTTTTTTTTGAGACAGAGTCTGGCTCTGTCACCCAGGCTGGAGTGCAGTGGTGCGATCTCGGCTCACTGCAACCTCTACCTCCAGGGTTCAAGCGATTCTCCTGCCTCAGCCTCCTGAGTAGCTGGGATTACAGGCGCGCGCCACCACCCCCGGCTAATTTTTGTATTTTTAGTAGAGATGGGGTTTCATCACCATGATGGCCAGGCTCATCTCAAACTCCTCATCTCAGATAATCCACCCGTCTCAGCCTTCCAAGGTGCTGGGATTACAGGTGTGAGCCACCTCGCCTGGCCAATAACTTTATAATATTCTTAAACAGCATTTAAAGATCCATATTATTACTATGATGGACAAAGGGCGGAACCCGAGAAAATAAACCGAAGAAACCAATACAAATCCAGTGAGCTCCACTTTAAGTAGATAAGAATTTATAAATGCGACAAGAATTTATAAATTAGATACATTATTTGATTTTTTTTAAGTTTCAAAAGGTTCTTCCATTACAGAGAGTACCAAAAATGTATATGCAGAGTTTTTTTTCTTTTTTATATTCCTCACGGATTCAGTACACAATTTGAGTAACTTCAAAAAAATGAATGCTACATTATTTCTATACTATCAAACATAGGCATGTTTCAAGAAATGCTACTTGCTGAGCAATACTCAATGGCTATTATGCTGCAAAAAAGGTATTTTTTTATTCACTATAAATGTACCACTCTACATACTCACTTATTTAAAATGCTGAGAATACTTACAACAATGAAAAAAAATTTGTTTTAATCACCAAAGGCCTACTGTAAGACATTACTAATAAGATGTGACTTACTTGTTAGGTCTTTTAAAAATTAAGTGTGTGGGCTAGGCGCAGTGGCTCAAGCCTGTAATCCCAGCACTTTGGAAGGCCGAGGCGGGTGGATCATGAGGTCAAGATCGAGACCATCCTGGCCAACATGGCCAACATGGTGAAACACCGTCTCTACTAAAAATACAAAAAATTAGCTAGGTGTGGTGGCATGTGCCTGTAGTCCCAGCTACTAGGGAGGTGGAGGCAGAAGAATCACTTGAACCTGGGAGGTGGAGGTTGCAGTGAGCCAAGATTGTGCCACTGCACTCCAGCCTGGGCAACAGAGCAAGACTGTCTCAAAAAAGAAGAAAGAAAAAATTACGTGTGTGTATGTGTGTGTATTTATTCCCTTTAAAAATAATTTATTTGATTCTGATCACAAAATACAGGGAAGGAGCAAGGGCAACACTTATAACCCCTTGGTCGCACATGTTCCTAGTCTATGTGTCTATAAATACCCTCTGTACAACAGCAAACTCATGCTGTCCTCCAAGTGTTGTTTCACATTCTAACAGCTACAAAGTATAGCATATGACCAGGTGGGAAGTAAAAACAGATGCCCTATTCACAAGGTAGAGTCTCCCTCCAAACAGTGTTCCAGCTCTCTTTTGCTACTACTACTGAAACCAAAGTAGCTGGTTGTTTCTACTACTGATCTTTTAAAATTCTTTCATGAACAAGTAGGTCATAGACAAATTATGTCTGCACAATTCTTAGAGTGGCTTAAAGTAACCTTATAAAAAGGCAGTGACTAAGGTCTGCTCCTTATCCCCAGCCTCCTACGTCCCAGGCTGCCTATGGCACCTGGACTGCCCCTCCTGGGTCCCCCACATCCCAGGGCAGCAATCAAAGAAGGGCAGGCCAGGCCAAGGATGAGGAATAAACAGTCTTTATTGGGCTCAGACCAGGAGTCCATGGGTCTTGAGGACCTCTATGTATTTGTCAATTTTGTTCTCCATGTTTTTTCAGCCTGTTTCTGTAGCCTCGTAAGCTGTCTTTTCCTCCAGTAGAGGATCTTAGCCTTCTCCTTCCTCTTCTCCTCCAGGGTGGCTGTCACTGCCTGGTACTTTCAGCCAACATCATGAGCCAGGAGCCCCAGGTAGGCAACCTTTCTCACAGGCTTCAGGCACACAACATTGAGAGCAGCCACCATTCACTTTTTGTCATAGTGGAGTGGTATCCCATCAAACATCTTGAGGTGGTCCAAAGCAGCCTGGCCTCACTTGGTCTTGTGGGGCAGCATGCTTCACATGGTCCACCAAAAGAGGCAGTTGGGGACTTGGAAATGGTATGGGCCTCAGAAGGAATTGGTGTTCATCTACCTGCAGAGGAAGGCCAGGTACTTTAACGTGTTTCTGTAGAAACTGCCAGAAATGTGGATGCC